CATTGGTTACAGCTCAGCATTTGCCTTATTTAAACAAAGTTTAAACAGTTGGCCGTCTGTGAGTGGTTAAAGTATAGCTACTGGGATTGGCTGGGACTAAGCTGTTGTTACAGGGAAACATACTACTAAAGTTAGGCTTTTAGTTTGTTTACCTGGTAAGTATGTGAGTATGGAGATTTTTCAGGCTAGATTTTAGTTTTATTTAGTAATAGATTATGGGATCTGAAGGACACTTTTGTAAAGGATGAAACAAACACGTTTTACCCACATTTCCATTTATAACAAAAGAAAAATGCCCTTTAGCTCTGGTAAGTATGATAGTTTCTAAATTAAAAGAGCATTATTTACATCTGAATTATTAATTCTAATATTAATTTCAAGTATTATTAATAATCATTTTTCATTAAGAACTTACAAAGTGTATATCCTCAATAAATTGAAGACATAATTAACTAAGAGATGCAGCAAATGAAGAGGTTAAGAGTGGATGGGTCAGAATATAAAAGGAGTGTTGTATGTCATACATAGGTTTAAATATGGAAAATATAAATAGCTGTTGTAAATATGCCTAGGAAATATAATTAAGGCACCATAAATTATTATGCCTAGGAAATATAATTCCCTTCCCTTTTATAATTCCCTTCCCTTTTATACCCATTTACACTTTCAAATCTAATTCTATTCCATTGCCATTTTAAAGATCAAGCCCCAACTGTTTCATGGTGTGCCTTCTTTCTAATTAAGTATTTGAGACCAATGGGAGTCAGGCTGGGACTATATCATGTCAATTTTCACAAGCTGACATTCACAGTAAAAGTAGTTCTTGATTATTTCCCTAACAGTTTCGATGTTAAGGGGGAAAAAAGCAACAACAGCACTGAGCTGTGTATATTCCCTCCTCATGCTCCTGGGTGAGAGATCATAGTTAGCAGCTGCTGATCTTAAAAATCTGAGTTTCTGTTACATTGCTAGCAATAACCTAAATCAATATAGAATAACACAAGCCAGTATGTGGTGAGTCATGAAAAATAGATCAGTAGTGATATCAATTGAAAATGATACAGAAAAATTATATTATCTGGAAAGAAAAATATATTTTTATAACACTCTTGGTCCTGAATAGTTTTAACTATGGCACACGAAACCAAGCAAGCAGCAAATTACAGATAAAGATGACTTTCTTTCTACTGTTAACACTCTCCACAAATAGATTGTAACTGAATGACTATTTGGAGGGTTAAGCATTGGGAGATGTCCATAATTACATAGCATGTTGGATAACATCATGACATTTTAATAAAACACATATACATTATAGAAAAGAAGAACTGGCCTTTTATTATTATTATTATTATTCTCTACAAATCAACAGAAGTACCCTTGACAGATGGGTGTTAAAACCCCTTTGCAAATAATTCCTCAGGTAGCTCATCTAAACTCTGAAAGGCTACAATAGCTCTCAAAATCTCAACAGAGGGAAATAAAATACTTCACAGTTGTAATGATTTTATCTTTATATGTATACTTTCTGAAAAAGTATAGTGAGAATACTAAGTATTTGGGAACTCATTTTAAAGTCCATAACTATTAAAAATTGTAAGAAGTTTTATGGAGCATATTTATTTCATAAATCAGAATCAAAGCCTGAAAAAAGAAGTCTTAAATGTCTACATAATTCTCACAATGCATATATATGAAAGTTGGGCAAAATTACTCATATTAAACATGTTCCAATTACTACCCTACTTTAAATAAGAACCTTATAAATTCCTAAAATATATCAAATGTAAGGAATGGTATGAATAATGCTTCACTTCTTGGAGATGAAATGAAGATGAAATCTAAACCCTATTTATTTATCCCAATTAGTCCATGTTCACATACTCACAAAGGACACTACACTATTCTGTCACCATTTAACCCTGTTCCCCCAAATCTCCTCATAAAAGCAGTTTCAAAAAGGATAAAACTATGCAAATAAACATTACACCTGCAGTTTTGTTTTGTCAAATTTGGGAATGAGACATCTGTGGTGAAAAGAAATAATAGGTTAGTCATTTTTAATTTCCAAAATGATCAGTCATTCACTATCCACGTCCCATGTGAACTACATAATGTCAACGCTGTCACAAAAGCAAGGTAGAGAAAACAGATCCTCTCAGCTTTAATTCAGTAGGGGGAAAAGTTCCTGGAATATGTTTTTCTTCCCTCTGGAGCACTTCGGTTTTGCAAAACATGTATTTTATAATTCTTAATTTATATTCAACAACAACGCTCTCTCTGGCTTTCAGAGTTTTTCCAGTTTCTCTGATAGTTCAAAAAGTTTCAGTGGTGTCATTTTATAGTTTAAAATGGGTGGTTCTCACTTCACTCAAAAGAAAGAGAATGCTTTGAAAACGATGTGGCCAACCTCTAGAAATGAAAATTATTATTGGTTAATAATAGTAATACCTAATATATGCGGCTCAGAAGCCTGGTTGAGCATGTATATACATCAATCATTTAATTTTCATAGCCCTTAAATGGCCAAACTAAGTCTTGGAGATATTAAGAATTTTTTCTAGGGTAGTATAAAACTAAATTTCTGAAAATCTGGCACATTTTGTCAGTCCTGAAGAATACAGAATAACCATTTATGTAGTCACCTATTACTCAGCAAATGTTTCCTGGCAGACTAGTAAGTAGCAGGCTTAGAGTTAGACATGGGAATACAAACTGAAATAAATTTTGATTCCTGTCCTCAAGGACCTTACATTCTAGTTCGGAAGAGAGACTATCAAATAAACCTACAGTGTTAAGATAGATACTTACAGCCCCAGGTAGTGGCACAAGATCCCTGAAGAACATGAAATTGAAACTATTTTCTTCTAACTAATAAACATTTATAACAGTAACAGAGTAGAAAACACTTGGCAAGCCTATCCGAATAATAATTATTCTGTCTTTATGGTACCAACATAAAATAAGGGTAAAAATCAAGCATAATATTAAAAAAATTATGTAATATAGTAATTTCAAAAATGTTCCTGGAATTGAGCTTTAATTTAGGATTCGTGCAGGTGCAACTAAATTGCAACTATGCTCACTTAAGGGATTGAATTTGCAGCAATGATTCAAAACCTCAATTCTGCTCATAGCTATATCAAAAGATTGTTGGTATTTCAAGGGGGAAAACTGAGTCTGATAAATATATACTCAACTGAAGTAAATAGACTCAGTATGTCAATTGAATGACTGGTATCCACTTTCTATCTAATGAAAGGCCAACATCAATTATTAAGTGCTAAAAATTACTACTGGGAATGCAAAACTGAAAACTTCTTCCAAAGAAACATGAAATTTAAATCTGGCAAATTTATTTAAAAGGGCTTCAAAGTGTAAAAACAGAGCTTTCTCTTTAGATAAATACTATCGATAAGTAATTTATCTTCTTTATAGAACAGACAGCAGACCAAGACAACTTTCTGCACCTTTATGGCTTGCTCTGAATGCCAAGCCAGGCACCACAGTCATTAGTACCAAAAAGGAAGTAAGAAATTTACTGTCTATATGAAGACTTTGAGGTCTGTCCTATGTAGGTGAAAAATATCACTACTTTTAGTCTCTCATCGTTAATGCCGTTAAACTCTATATTAAATTCTGTGCTGATGAAAAATTTTAAAAAATGTATGTGAGTATTGTGTTTGCTTATACTTATTTATCACAGAATGCTATGGTTTCTATTTGCAATTATGTCTTTTCTATAAAATTTTCAGTTTCTTGAGAGCAAAAACTGGTTACCACAATGACCAGTATATAGTTGGTGCTAAAAACACATATGTTGAATAAAATTGAATACATATTCCTAATTTCAAAGTATATTGTACATGTTACAATGTACTTAAAAAACAGACAAATTGCCAGTTTCACATTCACCATCTTTATTGATGGGTTCAAGTCTATGAAATTTTGCCTATCATATACCCCAAAACACAATAAAGCAGTTTCAAAGACATTTTAACACACTTAAGAAAAGGAGTTTCTGATTTAAAGCCCACCACTTTCATGTTAACATTAGTATATTTTTGTTCCTTATAGTCACAGTAGAGTTTATAAAGACTTGTCCAAATTGAAGTTGAAAAATGTTATGATGGCCATTCACCTTTAATTAAATTAAATACAAGCATTAAAAGAAATACTATTTGTATTAGCAATAGAAAACAGAACTTTTAAATTATAAGATTCAGGATTTTATTTTCTTACTCTTCTAAAATAGTTAATTTAACTTTTATTTGTATTTTTCTAAAATTTGTCAGCCACCAACTTACAGTGTGAGCCTACACACTCAAAGAAAAATTTAAGTCATCATTCAGTTCTTAGGATAATAATTAATATTTATAAAACACTCAAGGTATTTATAGAAAGCATTTTTTATATGTATACTATTAATTCTATATGGTATTTTATCACTCCTGCTCTAACAATAATTAAAAACCTTGCCTTGAAAGATAATTTGGAATTCTCAAAAGAAGTAAAGTTCTGTATGATAAAAGAATCTGTTACTTATTTTCTATAAGCAATCTTAAGCTTTATAATTTACCAAAATAAACATATTCAATATAAGTTTTATGTGATGTGTTGATTTGGAGTTTGCTAACAAAATAGTCATATATGCATACAATGGAAAATACATAAATTGAAAACATATCCAGATTAAGTGAAGCTTACAAATGTAGACAATTCTTTTTACCTATATTTATCATTGTTAGATAAATTAGTAAATACTACATTGTGCATTCTAGAAAAACAAAAAGCATATACTTTATTGTCTAGGTTCAATAATAGTCATTTGAAATACGCTCTGTGCCTCTGGAAGAAATAAGCAAAATAACATAAAATGTACGAATAAATAGGGTGAAATTCACAGAGACTACTTTTGCTGTCTTGTGATTGGGTCATTTATGAGTGTTAAGGATTTTTCTCAGTACAGTTCAGAATGTTAATCAATGCCTTCTACTTACAGGAGGGTCTGCATCTTCAGCATAAACTGTTGTGATAGGTGTACCCTTGACTGCATCTGGAGCCACCATCCCTTTGTATATTCGTTTACTAAAGACAGGAGGATAATCATTCATATCCTGTAAAACACAATTAAGGGTTTATTACTTCCGTTGAAACCAGGTTAGGGATACAGTTACTAGATTGACTCCCACTCTTCATATCACACAACTCATTTGCCACTGTCAGCCTTCCATCCTCTCAATTCCATTACTCTCACTTCAGACTGGCACCTCGGAGGAAACTGCCAGAGTTCTCATACAATATTAATGTGTGGATACCAACTGAAGGCCATTCCCCTGGAATAAAGCTTTTCACCCTCAAAAACATACCTTTTGGAGACTGAAGTGACCCTTGAATTTTTTTGAACTTCTAATGGTAAGTGGTAACATTTTAACATTTGAAAACAAGAACAAGTTTCTTTAAAAGCTACATTCTGTGAAGCAGGAGTAAAGGATTTTTTTAAAAATGCTCTTTATATGTTTTTGTAGCTATGTAAATTATTTTAGATATTTAACATAATACTATGATTAGAACATTTCAGCTACAAACTGAGAAATATCCTTTGTTGCCATTTTACATGATAAAAGGAGATTTTCTCTGCAGTGCACTACAATAACGACACTTAAGATTAGATATATTTATACACAGAAAACAATGTTAATTTACTGAATTTTTTTCAGAGCAATTTATATGTATCTTATTTTATTTTTCCAATCTGGAGCTATATATACATTGTTACTCATGTATTGTCAAGTTCATGAAATAAATAGTTATCAGGTATTTCCCATTTTCATCAGGTATTTAGCACTTCAGTGAAGATACTGTTGTGACAGAAGGAAAAGATATCCCTGTCTTTGTGTCATTTAACTGCCATTAAGCTAGTAAAAATACTGATCTGCAGATAAGCTAGTGACTTTAACTAAATTAATCTACTTATTTGTCAGAGCTAAAATAATAAATCAAGTCCCCTGAAAGCAAAACCATTTTTTTCTGAATCATTTTATCTTTTATAGACAATTATATATTATCTTTTATCAATAAATAATGCTTATTCATATGGCAGATTTATTTATTTATAATATTTTAATAATCCTTACCCCCCTAGAGTGTTTTGGGACGTGTAGGTCAAACATATTTGATCTGAAACCTAAATTTGTTAATTATCTGTTCTTCCCCTCCAAGTCACCTTTTTCTCACTTGTTAGTAAAAACAAAATTTAAAAAATTCTACATATTCTTTGATATTTGCTTAGACACAACAATTTTCCTGTACCGTATAGGTTGGGAATACATAAATTAACAGATCGTAAACTTCTCTTTTTGCAAAGAAGTCAGAATAATTATCTCTTACTATCAAACAGTCCTTCCTTTTACATTAACCATAGAGTTGGGTTCTGAGTAGTCAATACGAATAAACCTGCATACTCCAATAGGAGAACTTGAACTGTACACAAAACTGAAAAATAAAAGATACCATTTCTTCTGTTTTGGAATATAGTATTCACAATCTGTTCTATGAAAAAGATTTTTAAAATAAATTATGGACTTTAGAATCTGAATAAGTAAATGAACCTAGAAGCTTTGGTTCTCTATAATGAGGACTGTGAAGGGTATTGATCTTGAGGTTCCATGCAGGGGGTAAATATGTAAAACATTAGCATTCACACTTTTTTGTGCGCTTTCAAAGAGTGTCAATTAACTTAATGAGTGGATGTGGTAACTAAAGGTGTGGAAATCCTGTAGCACCCCTAAATTGTAACTTCTGAAGGTTAGAAAGGAAGGAGCCCAACGCTGCAATTTTTCCATGTGTGAGTTTCCACTGAGCTCGTTATGTTCTTATACATTTTATTCTTTATTACTCTCAGGGAAAATTTAAAACCTTAATGTCACAAGGTACTTTTTGGAAAACTTGATTCTTCAGAAACAAACAAACAAACAAAATGTATATACGTTTCCAGTTATGTCAACACAGTTGTTCACAGTGTTGAATACAATGAAGTTTCTATTTGCTTGGTAAGTATTAATTGGATTCACCTTCTAACTTAAATTACAGTGGATTCACAAACTGACTAGACACACACCTAAGGCTGTCAATGACTGAAGACTATGAAAAGATTGTTTCTCCTCCCCCTTTATTTTCTGTTGACAGGATGAAGAATAAATTAACGTCGTTATTGTAGTAGTATTTCTTTTAATGACACGTTGTACATACTTTGGGGTTATAATCTTTTATTGTGGCTACAAATGCAGCTAGTTGCATACAGTTTTTCCACAATGCATTATTTCAAGAGGAGAAATGTATTGAAATGCAATGCCAACAAGCATAATCAATAGTTAATTTTATTTATGCTCAGGGACATCTGAAGAAAAATATACATAAATCGGCTTCTGTGCAAATGTTCTATTCTGCAGTTAAATTAAGGATACACTCAGCACTCCAAAACCATGCTCTTTTCTGTTGCCCATTATTCCACTAGAGGGTAGCATTAGCAAAAAGAAATATATCCTCCCCTGTAGTTGAAAAATTGTATCATTAAAACCCATAATAGTTTGTTTCTTTTGGTAAAAATTTTTCTTGGTCTTAATGAAAAATAGTTTTAATGCTTCAGAAGAATATTCTGAATGTCATGGTTTACAGCTTGAAAAACATTGTGGATTTTTTTCTTAAGACAAACTTTAATAAATGGTTATACTCATAAAGCCTGCAATTTGTTTCCATGTATCAAGCAAATAAAATTATAACTGAAGGTACAGACAGCTAACAGGAGAAAACTATGTTTTATTTATTTATTTATTTATTTTCTACATTAGAGTCTGTAATAATCACAGAAACCATTTCTGCTTTAGCAGACTACCAAGAAGATGTAAGGGATCTTTTTAATAAGCATGCTAGGAAGATAAGAACTTGCTGGTAAATTTGTAAATTTAATGACAAGTTGAAGTTCTACACACACACACAAATAAAAATAAAGAGAAAAAGATGATAAAATTTTTGATTTTCTGGAATCACAGGCAAAACCTACAGAACAGTTTTTATTTAGAAGATAAGCAGAAAGTTCTAACTAGTTACAACTTGATCATATTTTTAAAAATGATATGTAGGCTGGGCACAGTGGCTCATATCTGTAATTCCAACACTTTGGGAGGCTGAGGCGGGCAGATCACCTGAGGTCAGGAGTTCGAGACCAGCCTGGACAACATGGTGAAACTCTGTCTGTACTAAAAATATAAAAATTAGCCCGGCATGGTGGCGGGCACCTGTAATCCCAGCTACTCGGGAGGCTGAGGAAGGGAGAATTGCTTGAACCCAGGAGGCGGATGTTGCAGTGAGCCGATATCACACCATTGCACTCCAGCCTGACTGAGTGATACTCTGTCTCCAAAAAAAAAAAAAAAAAAAAAAAAAAAAAAAAAAAAAAAAAAATGTGTATATAGCAAATACCAGTCCTTACCATACTAAAGCTAATGCACGCTCTATGAGAAGACACAAACAGTATAAGACAATGGGTGGAATGACTTCAGTTGTTTCTGTCATATGGTCTAGCATTAGCATTATCCTTGTTTAGCTATATGGCTGCTGTATAATACCTTGAGGTTTATGGAGCCGATACCTAATTTTACGTGGGTATATGGTTGATTGTTTGCCTGTTACCAGTTCTGTTTTCCACTACTAGACACTTTCTATTTGCTGTCCAAGTTGCTGTTTCTCATATTTCTCATATTATTAGCAATCTGCTGTTTTTTTTCTCTCTTAATTTCTGTATTGTCTGTCTTTACTGACTTATTTTCTTTCTTTTACGCTTCTGCATATAAAGTCATAAAAGGCTACATCTGCAGCTAAAGCAAATATTTGATATTTTTACTGCCAGGGTAGGCATATTCACCACAAGCTGACTTAAGAGGCCGTGGGCCATAAGTGAATATTGGTGGTAGCCTGGCAGTACTCCCCAAGGGTCTTTGATAGTGGCGCAGGGTAAGGCTCCTCTGCTCGTGGAGAAGGACTGCTTCTCATAGGTTGAGTGCCTGCTCAGCCACAGTACAAGAGAACACCAGGTAGAATTCTAAGGTTTTGACTTCCAGATGGCACCTTTGGACCTGTTCAGGGCCTGGGGGATTTTGCCACCCTAAAGGGAAAGACACAAGTCTGGCTGGCTTTGCCACCTGCTGATTATGGAGACCCATGGCCTTGAACAAACTTAAGTGGTAGCCAGAGTGGTTACAGCAGGTCTTGGACAAGACCCAGTGCTGTGCTGGCTTTAGGTCTGACCCAGTGCAGTCTCAGGGGTGGGGTCCACAGGGGTGCTTGTGTCACCACATCCCCAGTTCCAGGTGGCTCCAAACAGAGACACTCTGTTTGGGAAAAAGTAAGGGGAAAGAACAGGAGTTTCTGTCTGGTAATTAAGGGAATTCTTCTAGATCTTATCCAAGACCATTAAGGTAGTAAGAGTCTGCCAAGAACCACAGTGTTACTGGGCTTGTGGTACCTCCTAAAGCACATACATCTTTAGCAACATCCAAATCCTTTCAAATACCTGAATACCTGAAAAGCTTTCCAAATAACGAATACAAAGAAGTCCAAGTCCAGACTGTGAAGAATACAATAAACACCCAATGTTTAAATGCCCAGACACAGACAAACATCCACAAGCATCAATATCATCCAGGAAAACATGAACTCACCAAACGAACTAAACAAGCCACCAGAAACAAATCCCGGGAAAACAGACAGAGTGACCTTTCTGACAGAGAATTCAAAATAGTTGTCTTGAGAAAACTCAAAAAATTCAAGAAAACACAGAGAAGGAATTTAGAATTCTATCAGAGGCATTTAACAAAGGACTGAAATAATTTAAAAAATCAAGAAGGAATTCTGGAGTTGAAAAATGCAACTGACAACCTGAAGAATGCATCAGAGTTTTTTAATAGCAGAATTGAGCAAGCCCAAGAAAGAATTAGTGAGCTTGAAGACAACCCATTTCAAAATTGTATTTTTTTGAAATACAAGTCAGAGGAGGCAAGAGACAAAATGAACAAAAAACAATTAAACATGCCTACACGATCTAGAAAATAGCCTCAAA